CCTCTTCCCCGCCCCCCTTCCCCTCTGTCGACCCTTTCTTCCCATTACCCTTGACCCCTCCCTCTTCCTCCCACCTTCCCTCGACCCTCTCTCTCCCCCTCCCTCGACCCTCCCTCGACCCCTCTACCCCCTACCCCCATCTCCCTCTACCTCCGTCCCTCCCTCGATCCTCCCTCTCCTCCTTCCTCCCTCCCTCGACCCTCCTCTCCCCACCCCATCTCCCCTCTACTCCCCCATCTTCCCCTCCGTCCCTCCTCGATCCTCCTCGACCCTCTTCCTCGATCTCTCTCTCCCTCGGACCCTCCTCTCTCACCTCCGTCCCTCCTCGATCCTCCCTCTCCCCCTACCCCATCTCCCCCTCTACCTCCCGACCTCCCTCCTCCCTCCCCTCGACTCTTCCCCCACTCCCCGACCCCCTACTTCCTCGACCCCTCTCTCTCTCCCTACCTCGACCCCTCTCTCTCCCCCCCATTCGACCCCTCTCTCTCCCCTACTCGACCTTCCCCTACCTCGACCTCTCTCTCCCTACCTCGACCCCTCTCTCTACCTCGACCCTCTCTCCCCCATCTTCGACCTCTTTCCCTACCTGGACCCTCTCTCTCTCCTCTACCCTCGACCCTCTCTCTCCCCTCCCTCGACCCTCCCTCGACCCATTTTAAGAAACCCGGTCTCAGTCTCGTCTCAATGAAGCTTCAGTCTCTTGTAGTTACTGAAGCTCTTGAGTCTTTTTCCTTTTTATTAGCCTTTAGACAGTTTGGTACCTGGCTAAGTGGAACAAGGTGATGAAACGTACAGGAAGGGCTTAGAGTCTTAGACTATCTAACCTAACCTAACCTCACCTTTACCTAATCTACCATACCCTAACCTCACCTAATGCATCCTAACCCTAACCTAATCTAAACTAATTAAGCCTAACCTAACCAAGCCTCACGTAACCTAATCTAGCCGTACACACCTCCCACAGCAGTGTAAATAATCACACAGAAATTGAAACACCAGGACACCAACACAAGCAGCAATACACAGTTCCCACAGCAATACCACAACACAGAGAGAGAGGCACACACACCTCCCACAGCAATATACACAGTCACACAGCAGTTGAAACAGCAGCACAGCAACACAAGTAGCCTTACACAGCCCCTACATAAACCATCTACAACAATATCCCAAGAATTAATAGACTTGAGCCATTTTATCTCGCCAACACTCCTGTAACAACACCGAGAGGTCTCTCTGTTCTCTACAGTGTTCCGCCTGAAGACTTTAATTGGTTGAGTCGGACTAACAAACAAACAATCTGAACTTTTAGCATTTAGACGAGTTTAAAGAAAGGTTTTATGATCTTACGATACGATACGAAGTCATTAGTTAGAAGGTGAAAGAAGATTATTAGGGAATTGAAGAAAAAAGTGGTGAAACTGAAATACAGTAGAGTAGAAAGAATCTGGGCTCAACCAGATCGCTTAACTTTACATATTAGTAGTCTTGTTTATAAACTTTGACTATATAATCTACCAGACAGTTTTATGTGGCATCTATGAATATATATATATATATATATATATATATATATATATATATATATATATATATATATATATATATATATATATATATATATATATATATAATGAATGTGGTATTAAATTAATGTATGTAAAAAAAAGGTTACATATATATCACAAGTATTTCCAATTCATTGCTTCATAAAACACAGGACATTATTTCAACCTACGCTATACATCACGCCGGGAGAACCATATATACGGTTGTGTGTAATAATTCCTTTATTGTTTTTTGGTGAAAATAGTGAAATATCGGGCAGCAGAAAGCTTGTGTTCCAATAAAACTTCCATGGGTATAACTCTGTTGGATGTCTCGGTATTTTCATTGGGGTCTACCTTCCAAAAAAAAGAAAATGGGGTAAATATTTTAGTTTATGAAAGAAAACGTATTTGCATTAATATCATAGACTTAATTAAAACTAAAAATTTGGCTCGCCTGACGAATGGCAAAAAAAATCCAAATAGGTTGAAAATGCCGAAAAAAATATCTATCTACCCATCTATCTAATCTTTTTTGTTCATATCTACCAAAAAAAAGCTAATCCGGGTAAATTATCCTAGTACCAACCAAATAAATGTTGATAAAGACGATAATAATGAAATAACAGACGAAAAAAACTCCCCGAAACAATACCAACAAAAAAAATATTCCAGTGGCATTTTTTTCAATTGATAGTTTGTGATGAGAATTCACCAGCGTAGCGTGACGAGACTGTGTGAGCAAGAGGAGGGAAAATATCAAAATGAAATTGCTGTGGCGGGCTGACTGGCTGGCTGGGTGGGTGGGTGGCGGGTGGCTGACTGGCTAGGTGGGTGGCGGGTGGCGAGGAGTATGACGCCCAGTGAATGTGTGTTGTTTTCCCCGCTGGCTTGTGACTTATATTCTTTAGACGTGGGTGTGGATAGATGCTATAAGATGTACTTTGTATACTGTGTGTGTGTGTGTGTGTGTGTGTGTGTGTGTGTTGACGCTGTTGGATACTGTGAGTGAATATTTTTGTTTTTATTTTTTGCTGATTGTTATATATCCGTTTTCCTCTCTCTCTCTCTCTCTCTCTCTCTCTCTCTCTCTCTCTCTCCAACAACTCAGAATTTTCCATTGCACTTACTAACTTTCTTTCCATCTCAACCTCACAAACAATAAAAAAAAATTCAACGACTATCCTAACCTAACCACATCAAATTGTCAAAAGTGTCCAGTGAATTGTGATCATCAGTGTACAGTTCCCGTTAAAGCATTTCAGTGGCTCTTTGTCAGGTATACAAATTGAGAAAGCGAGGACTGTTCCCGGGTGTAGGAGGTGACATAGAGACGACTTGAATGACACGGCGTAGAAAATGAAAGCTCAAGAATTGTTGTTATCGTGGACATTATTCGGGTGAGTGTTGGCGTCAGTCAGTCATACACACACACACACACACACACACTAGCTCTTGCTGTTGTTGGTGGAGGAAGTGGAAGGAGAGGGAGGAGGAGAGGAGTAGAAGAGGGTAAGTAGGAGGGGGAGGTGAGGGACGAAGAGTAGGAGAGGGATGAGGAAGATGGGTAGAAGAGGGAGGAGGTGGAAGAAGAGTAAAGAAAGGAGAAGAGGTGAGACGAAAACAAGGAGCACGAGGAAAAGGAAGAACAGGAAGGAGGAGGAGGAAGATATTTAAGAACATGGAGCATCAAGGAGGTCACAACAACAAAGCTCTTCAACGATATAGAGAGGTGGTGGTGAAGGTGGAGGCTCTCACAAAGTATACAGTAGTGTGTCTCCAGGGACCCAACACCCTATACTAGAGAGACTGACGAAGTGGACCACGGGAGCTCACGATGTCAAACGTGTTGTCGTGGGTTGAGTTCGGCTTACCCATGCAGCTCAACTCCATTGTTTGTTTTACTAGACACAAGGCACCCGGCGAGCGATGACTGCGATATCACTATGTTAGCCAGTTTATGGGGGGTGAGACAGTGCCACAAATCCCACATTTTAGTTAGCATCCCCTAGAGGCCTAGACCATGGGTTAGTTAAGACGTCCTCACCCTCCCCTCCCCCTCCTGGAGGGAATGGGATTCTACACACAGTCCTTTACCACGACCCCGCCCTGTGGACTGTCAGTGACACGAGACTGTGTGCCAACCCAAGGTTGTTATCCCCTGTGGAAAGATCACGTGTGGAAGCCTGGCTGCAACAAGAGGATCCAGGTTGGCAGTAAATGTATCATTTGAAGAATTAAGGCTCTCTTAAGTCATACCCATAGTAGAGTAATCACATGTGTCCCCAAGTTGAAAATTCTCTCTTTGTGAAGATTAATTTTATTACAGCGTGAACGTGAGTGACTCATATATCCATGCAAATTGTAAATCATTGTATGGAAGCTTGACAAATAAATGTAAGTGCAATTATCTGCCCGTATCTGTGATCCTATCTTATTATTACTAAAGGTAATGACAGATTGGTTATGACAAAGTATAACCAATAACTTAGATGGATGTTGGAAATTAATGGAACTCAATAAATCATCATTTATCAAGTATAAATCATGGAATGTCGGGTGGTGGAGTGAACTTCTACGTAGATACACCATAATCTCCTGTAAGTAACCAGTGTGAAGGTCTTGCTCTACGGTAAGAAATATAAGAAACACAAAACTTAATATGATATCCATCCAGACATATTAAACCCGTGACATCTCTCTCTCTCTCTCTCTCTCTCTCTCTCTCTCTCTCTCTCTCTGGGTCGACCTCCTCAACTCACACTTTTTAACATGTGAAAGACTTGTTCTATCAACCACGAGACGTCTTGTATTTTTTCACACATGATATAATATGGTTGACAGGTGTGTGTGTGTGTGTGTGTGTGTGTGTGTGTGTTATTCATTGTCATACATTTTATAGCCTTGTACACGAGAAAGAGAGAGAGAGAGAGAGAGAGAGGGAGAGAGATTGTGTATAATTGATCTAAAGTGGTTTAGTATACAGGGTATTGTAATAAGTCCAACAGAGTGAGCTGTTTCAGACCCTCACCTCACCTCACCTCACCTCACCTACTTCAAGATTCTCTTTCTCTGCCTCTTGTAACACTGTGTTTAAGTCTTGTGTCTAGAACGTGTTGTCCCCCCCACTGGTGTGTGAGACTTAAGTAGTCCTCATCCTCGAGCACAAAGTCAACTGCTATTATGTACGATATAAATAATGTTTACGTAGAGATATCACCTGAGTATGTTTACCTCTGAGATTAGCAGCTGTTTCCCGCTCTCATAAATAACTACAATTAACATTTAAACAAAGTAATGGAAAATTTGTTCAGCAAGATTACATAATATATTGCCTAGTGTTTAATTAAAGGACAAAGTTATTATATTCCACATCTACGCCATCCATTTATCGCCACTTGTTCCTGCTTTTTTTCTCCTTTTATTCACATTTTATTCCTCTTGTGTTTACAGCGACGCGGCTCCTGTCAGGGTCTGGGCCCCTGGAGTTCTCGGAGCCTCGCTACTGCGCCGTCCTGTCTGAAGACGCCCAGCTGGCGGCCACCGTCCTGGCTGTCACTGCCACACACAGTCAAGGTCAGTCACACCCTCCCTGGTCACTATCACACACAAGCAAGGTCAATCACACCCCTCTAGTCACGATCACACACAAGTAAGGTCAGTCATACCCTCCTTGGTCACTATCACACACAAACAAGGTCAATCACACCCCCGTGGTCACTATCACACACAAACAAGGTCAGTTATAAGAACATAAGAATGGAGGAAACTGCAGCGGGCCTATTGACGCCATACTGGGCAGTCCCATTTACACTCAACCCCTATCGGTCATATACCCATCCAACCTATGTTTGAAGCTATCCAACGTATTCGAGTTAATGATGATATTTGGTAACTTCATCCACTACTCTATTTCCAAACCAATGTTTACCTATCTCACGCCTAAATCTAAATTTGTCTGATTTAAAACCATTGTTACGAGTTCACTCCTGGTTGGATAGTTTGAGTACCTTTGTAATGTCACCTTTGTTTAACCCTGGCTTCCATTTATACACCTCTATCATATCGCCCCTCACTCAACGTCTCTCGAGGGAGTGCAAATTAAGATGCTTTAACCTTCTCTGTACTCAAGGTTCCTAATGCCCGGGATTAGTCTTGTCATTCTCCTCTGAATTCTTTCTAAAGGATTCTATATCCAATCTGTAATACGGTGACCAGAACTGAACTGCGTAATCCAATTGAGGTCTCACAAACGCAAGATATAGTTTTAAGATGACCTCGCTAGTCTTGTAACTAACACTCCTTTGTATGAATCCAAGCACTTTGTCAGCCTTGTTGCGTGCAAATACACATTGTTTACTTGGCTTAAGATTCCTACTTATCATTACTCCTAAATCTTTCTCACAGTCGCATTTCTCTATAACATCGTTGTTCATCTGGTATCTCGTTTCTCTGTTTACATCTCCTAAACTATATACTTTACATTTTACTACATTAAATTTCATCTGCCATTTTTCAGACCATTCGGAAAATTGGTTTGATCTTCCTGTAGTTTTGCGGAGTCCTCGTCAGATATAATTACACGTCCTATTTTAGTGTCATCAGCAAATTTACTTAAGTTGCTGTCTATGCCTATATCTATGTCGTTTATGTATACAATAAATAGTAATGGTCAGAGTCACACCCTCCCTGGTCACTGCCACACACAGGCAAGGTCAGTCACACCACCTGCCCACCAACCCCACACACCCCCACCCCCTGGTCACACACACAGGCAAGGTCAGTCACACCCTCCCTGGTCACTGCCACACACAGGCAAGGCAGTCACACCCACCTGGTCACCCACACACAGGCATGGTCAGTCACACCCACCTGGTCACTGCCACACACAGGCATGGTCAGTCACACACCTGGTCACTGCCACACACAGGCAAGGTCAGTCACACCCCCTGGTCCTCCCAACGGAGCGCGACACCCATCTCACCGTCACCCCGTGACACACCCACCCACACACCACCCCCCACAGCGGTCATCCCCCTGTCACTGCCACACAGGCATGGTCAGTCAACCCACCTGGTCACTGCCACACACAGGCATGGTCAGTCACACCCCCAGGTCACTGCCACACACAGGCATGGTCAGTCACACCCTCCCTGGTTTCTGTCTTTAACTGTCTCTTTGCCTTTCCTAAACTGACTAAAGGACTGACTTTTCATAGTCATTCTCTCTCGAGCTTTGTCGTATATTTTCATTAATAATAAAAGCTAAAAAGGAACCCAGTTCCTGTCCTAATAACTCTTAAACCAACTTACAAACCCAAGCTGCAGTCACACACACACACACACACACACACACACAATCATCCGTAATAAAAGTCCCATCGTCTGTACTTTATTTGTCTAGTAATATTCTGAATCATCCTAATCGACCGTAAAATCGTTATCATCCTCTCGTTTCCTCCAGTGGTCTATTGTCCGAGGTGCTTCATCTATGGTTAGTCTTGTGCTTAACGTTAAGGTTTCCTAAAATTCTGCTCAGACTCTGTCTCCCAACTGGTGCTGAGAGAGTGTTCAGTTTTCATCAAGTATTTACCATATTTGTTATTTTGTGGTGGGAAATATTTGAGTTAATAATAATAATAATAATAATAATAATAATAATAATAATAATAATAATAATAATAGATAAAACAATAATAATGATAGCTACAATAATGATGATAATAATACCCCTTATCCCGTCGAATTAGAAATTAAGGTTTTGAATAAATTTAAAAGTTTAGGAATTAAAGGAAACAAAAAAATTCGCATAAAAGTTTCAGGAACTGATTCATTAGTCTTTGAAAATCAGTGAAACGTGTCCGACAGTCATTAGCGCAACCTATTACCAAAATAACAACATTGACAGTTTGTTTAATCCAACTACGAATGCTCATGTGTTTGTTTACATTCAGGAAGTGATTCGTTGTGCCATCTACCAGACTCTCAGACTAGAAAGACTTGTTGTTATTCTACTAGCATACGAGTTTTTCTCACTCTCAGACACACACACCTACTACTACTACTACTACTACTACTACTACTACTACTACTACTACTTTGCTGTCACCCGGAATCGAGTATGACGATCATCCAGCTAAGATACAATGATACAAGTTATTAAGGATGTCACCTTCGTTGGTGAGCTCTAAGGCGACTCGAGAGGCCGATACGAGATCGGCAGGGCTGTCCATAGATGTTGCACGTCTGGAAGGCTACATCTAGTGTGGGAGGGTCGGCGACGTCGTCTTTCCAGCGCTGGCGCTTGCCTGCCTCGGTATGCAGTCGGGCTAACTCGAAAGTATTGTCACCTTCTCGTGTGGTGCCTCCGTTACGATGTGAGTAATCGTCTCCCAGGTGAGGGGGTCGATTTGGCACTTTTTCAGGTTTGTCTAAAGACTAACCTTATTACCTTTTCAATTGCCCGCCGGCGTTACTTTTACTATTCGTTAGGTGAATGTAAATTAACCTGTTTTGGCAGTCTACTGTCGTCCATGCGGGTAACATGGCCAGTCCAGCGTAGTTGTTCATGGATAATGGTAGCCTCGATACTCCTACAGTTGGTGTCAGCAAGAATACTGGCATTTGTATTCTTGTCTTCCCAGCGAACTCGGAGGATGGAACGTAGACTACGTTGGTGAAAGTTTCAAGTGCCTTGAGGTGCCTCCTGTATGCAACTCATGTTGTGCTGCCATATAGCAAGGTGGGGAGGACCACTGCTTTATATACGTGCATCTTGTAGATAAGTTCAGCCCCTGCAGCTGAAGACTCGGGTACAGAGTCTGCCAAAGGCTTGAGATGCACATTTGATCCGATGTTGAATCTCTTCATCAATCTCCGCAGTGATGGACAGGTGGGAGCCGAAATACTGAAAGTGGGTATCATTAGAGAGGGTAGTACCGTTAAGCTGGACGGATGGCGGTGTGGCTGAACCAGGGGCAGGCTGAAAGAGAATCTGAGTCTTACATACATTGACCTCGAGGCCGAAGTGTGCATACGCATCTGCATAGGCGTTCAGGATCTCCTGTAGGTGGCATTCAGTGTGAGCGACGAGGGTGATATCGTCTGCATACTGATATTTAGTATGGAAGCGACTGACACCTTTGTTCCTGCCTAGAGTCGTCTTATGTTGAAAAAACCCTTCATCCGGTACTGGATGTTCACCTCGCCGGCTAAATTGACGAGTAAAGAAGGCAGCCAAGAAATTGGAAAAGAGTTGGTGCCAGTCCACATACTTGTTTTATCACCGTTTGGATGGGGAAGAATTCAGACTGGGTGCCATTGTGCAGGACACTGCCGTTCATGCCATCGTGGAGGTCCCCCACAATGGCGATGAATTCTGGTGGACGCCAAAACGGCTGGGGGTCCGCCAGAGGGCTTCCCTGTTGACCGAGTCGAAGGCTTTGGTAAGGTCGATGAAGGCCATGTACAGGTCACGACGCTGTTCTCTACACTTTACCTGTATCTGGCGGGCAGCAAAGTTCATGTCAGTGGTGCCACGTGATGGTCTAAACTTCTAAAGCCACATTGAGAATCTGGGAGGAAGTTTTCCGCCTCAGGAAAAAGTCTGTTCAGGAGGACTCTGACTATAATCTTGCCAGCTACGGACAGTTAGCCTGTGTTGGATAGATTGGCGAATGGCAAAGCCAACTCCGTAAATGTGGTTTCTCTCCACAGCAGGCTTACCCTTCCAGAAAAAGGTATAGCCAGACCCCTGTTCTGTGAGTCGACCCTCGTCTGGGAGTCGGGACTCACTAATGGCTGCTATGTCAATGTTATACCTCGCCAGCTCTTTTGCCACAAGGACAGTTCTTCTTTCAGGACGCGCATTTGTGCCAGTAACCAGAAGAGTCCTGCCATTCCATTTAGAAGAAACACACACACACACACACACACACACACACACAACTATACAAAAAATCAGTGTCATTAATATAGAAATTATAATTTAATACCATCTACTTTCTACAAGCAACTAATGTACGAACGTGTACAGACTCGCAAGCGCAGAATGCATTCGATCGAAACTTTGGGGGTTGATAATAGAGTTGTCGAGTCAATTTAAGTAAGACAAGTTCATTCCCACAACCATTTCTTGGCGAACAATACCACTGGCGAGTGATTTAAGTACAGGAGTGTTCCCACTACCAGTTGTCCGCTAATAAACCTTTTGTAACGATTCAGTAATATTAATATGTCCTCCCACTACCTGTTGTCAGCTAATAAACCTTTTGTAACGATTCAGTAATATTAATATGTCCTCCCACTACCTGTTGTCAGCTAATAAACCTTACGATTAATATGTCCTCCCACCTTGTCACTAAAAACATTCCTCCACTACCTGTTGTCAGCTAATAAACCTTTTGTAACGATTCAGTAATATTAATATGTCCTCCCACTACCTGTTGTCAGCTAATAAACCTTTTGTAACGATTCAGTAATATTAATATGTCCTCCCACTACCTTTTGTCAGCTAATAAACCTTTCTAGTTGTTAAAGATGTATAGGTCACACTACCCACAGTGTTGACATACGAAC